TTTGCTGGTAAAATGTTGCAACTTTGGATATGTTTTATTTCTTTTTCTTGTATTATTGCACTGGCATAGCTTCCAGCAAGAGCAGACGTCACTGTCTTATGTCTTGATCTCAGTCTTTTCCCATGATGCATTACCATATGAGCACTGGATTGCCAGAGACATCAAGTTGAGGAAGTTCCCTTTCAATCCTATTTTTGGTCAGGAGTTTATGTTGGATTTTCTCAAACTTTTTAAATATCTATTGAGTTGGTCATATAGTCTTTTTAATTTCTTAACATAACAGATTTCTTTGATTAATTATTGATGTTAAACCAAGCTTTCATTTGTGGGATAAACACCATGGGTTATAATCAGTTAACTCAGTTTTAGGCCATTGAATTTTGTTTGCTAAGATAATGTTTAAAAATTTTAAATCTCTGTTCTTGAGGGCTATTGGCTTATAGTTTTCCATTCTCATAATGTCTGTGTCAGACTTTGGTATCAGGATGATGTCAGCTTCATAGACTAAGTCAGGAGGTAGCATTTGCAGAATTGTAGAACTTGTATTATTTCTTACTTAAACATTTGACAGAATTTATCAGGGAAGCTAGCTGGTCCTGGAGTTTTCTTTATAGGAAGGTCTGTACCTACAAATTCAACTGATTGGAGAGACAATCAGGTTATCTGTTATCTATTATCTATCTATTATCTGTTTTTGAGTGAGTTTGTATCTCTCAAGGAATTTGACCATTCCATCTAAGTTGCCAAATGTATTGTCATAATGTTGTGAATATTCCCTTAATCTTTTGATTTCTGTGGAATATGTAATGATGTTACTTTTCTCTTTAGTAATTTGTGCTTTGTCTCTTTTTAAAAAAAAAACTCATCACTCTGTATATACTTATCTTTTTATTGATCTCAAAGCATTGGCATTTGGTTTCATGAATTTCTCTATTTTTCTTTATTATTATTTTTAATTTGCAATTCTTTTTTCTAGTTTTTTAAGGTAGAGCCTGAGATCACTGATCTAAGACCTCATTTCTAATATAGGTACTTAGTGAGGCTGTACACCTCCCCCCAATTCTTATATAGTTGCATTCCATATATTGTGATATGTTTTCATTTTCATTCAGATAAAATTACTTTTATGACACTTTTTCAGCTGCCCTGGTCACTACATCCCATGGGTGGAGCTGAGAGAGTAACCATCCTGGAGGAGGGGGCCCTTCTGCGCCTGAGTGATGCTCCTGCAAGTTCTGGAGACCTCAGCTTTCCCACTGAGCACATGAATAGTTTCTGATGGGTCTTCCAGCTCCACTGTCCTCTGATTAGGTTCAATTTAATCCCTTCATCTCACGGATGAAAAACCACTCCCCTGCATCCCAAGGGCCAGACACACCACTGTGGTCAGGCCCATGGCAGAGCTCGAACTCCCACCCCCGACTCCTAATGGCTAGGCCTCCAACACTCCAAATTCTAGTTCACCCAGGACAGCTTATTGATCTGTTCCCTTGTGCCAGGTGCACTGCTAAGCTCCCCATATTTTCTCATTTAATCTTTATAACAGCCTCGTGTTAACATAGTTTAGTAAGGATGATGAGATAAGGGTGGCCCTAATGCCTGGGCAGCCTACATGAGCACACCAGAACACTCTGAGTCAACACACTCTGAGCCAAGAAAATGAAGCTTAAGAACTGTCCACCACAAGTTGCCAACTAGGCTTTCTAAAATAAGGCCACTGCTTGAGTTATAGCCAAGTAAATAATTTCCTTGCTTTCTTTTCAGGTCTTCTTTAGAAAAACCTCTCCCCCGGCAACTGTTGATGGACTTCTCCTAAACTCCTTTGGTTTGGCAAGGTCTGATTCAAATCAATATATATTCAAACAGACTCTTGAAAAAAAGATGTTAGTGTGCCTCAGTTTACCTTTTAACACCTATGAAGTAGATGCGGTTCTCATGGCCATTTTACAGGTGCTTAAATCAAGGCTCAGATACATGATGTCTCTGCTTCTAAGGTCCACCCAGAGGAAGTGGGAAAGTGGGTGCAAATCTGGTGTCTAAAGTCAGGCCGGCCCCTCACCACTTGGTGCTTCTGTCTCCTTCCTCTTCACTACCACTTCAGCAATGTTCTCTTCCTGACCCAGGATGCACACACAGCCTTGGGGGTCCAGAAGCAGAGGAGCAGAAGAGAAAGGCCTGGAAATGAAGGCTGGGTGGAGCAGGGAGAGACAGCAAAAGAGAGACGCTTTCTAATTATGAAAAAGTCTTCTGACCTATTCCTGTTCATTCAACTGAAACAAAAAGGGTTGAACTTTGGCGCGCTGTCTTTAAGTATAAATGCAGATTAATGAGGAGAAATCTGCTTTGCTAAGCTCAGAAAACAGGGAGATCAAATTGAGCATGATATTAAGTCTGATAATGCTGGCTCACGGGGCTCCGCCAGAACGAGAGCGCAGCTCATGTGGGCTCCCGGCCTGTGCTCAGAGATGGCAGAGGATGAACCCAGAAGAGGCTGCGGAGCCCAGACAAGAGTCTTTGAAGTCCACCCTCTCTTCTCTGTCTTAAGACTTGACAGCTCATGAGCTTGATATTTTCAGCCAAACTAGTGATGGAGGTTCTTGGGGATGATTCCTGCTGGGCCCCACAGAGTCACTGTGGAGTGGAACTCGGACATCTCCCATCCAAAGGTGGGGATCAGCTGCTACTCAAGATTGCAGTGTGAGGAGAAGGCATCTCCACCTCAAATGTTCATCCAAGTGACATAGCGTCCCAATGCTACCAGCTGAAACCTCGGCCATGTGCCTCTGTGAAGCTCAGTCTACATCTCTACAAGGGACTCGCCTCTCCTGCCAGGAAAGGCAATGGTGAGGATTGACTGAGTTCGGGTATATAAAGGACCTGGCATCTGCCTTCTCTCTTCAATTATTCAATAAATATTATGGATGCCCACCATGGACTGGGCCCTTGGAGGGTTTCAGCAAGAAGCAGACCTGAGAGGCCTGGTCCACCTATCCAGAACTTATGACTATCCATGAGTGACTCCAGGTAACATTACCTGGAAACTTGTGAGTCATTGGCTTGAAAGTTGGGTATGATTCTGACTCTGTTCCAATCTCTGCTGTGCAACCTCAGGGGTCTCACCTGGCCTCTCTGAGCTTCAGATTCATTTTCTGGTAGAAAGGATAAGGGTCAGAGCTTGAGAGAGTTAGGGAGCCTGAGGGTGTGTTCAACCTGGTCAATGCTGTGTTCTTCAGAATCTATGGTTCTAGAAACTTCAGCATCTCAGGATCTACCAGCACAGGCAGGATTTATTAGAGGATGGGAGAAGCAAGGAGAGTTCTGCTCACACGCAGTCACACCCATCTCCTCCCCTAGAAGTTCCCGGCAGGCAAGAGACTGCCTTCCCGGGAGAGAAACCCACAAAGCTTGCTGATTTAGCAGCATCGCACACTCATCAGACCACACTGGGTTCCATCTGGGCTGTACGATTCTCTGAGTCTCAGTTTCCTCATCTGTAACATGGAAACAATCAAACCTCAGGTGACCAACGAAGAGTGTGAAAACTCAGAATCTCAGCTACACACCTGTGTCCTTCCGTAAGGCTGCTGGAACAACTACTACACTTAGATCCTTGTCTTCAGACACCCAGACAGCCTGGGGTTATAGAGACCCCTCATGGGGCCTTTTCTGAAGGCACCTCACCCTCGTAGTATGAAGAAACCTTCTCTTGACAACCTCTACTATCACCTCCCCATGGCTGATTCCCCTGCCCTTCATACCTGCCGACAGCAGGGCCCGCAGCAGTGGGGTCACGTGGATGCCTGCTCTGAGCTCCCAGGCTTTGCTGCTTTGTCACTGATGCACCCACAGTCCTGAAAGGTGGGCCTGACCCCCCACTGCAGATGGGAAGCTGGGGCCCAGCAAGGGGGCTAGAGCCAGGGTCAGGACACTCCCATCTGGGCTCAGAGCCCGCACCTGCCCTGGACCTGCCTCGGTCCCACCCACTGCCTCTGGGCTCTGTCCCTGCCTGGGTCACTAAACACTGAGCACTGGGTCTGTGCATCCCAAGGGCACTCTGTAGGGGACCTCCTTCAGTCCTCATGGCCAGAGGGGCCATCAAGATCGACAGAGGAGGTGTCACCCAGCACTGACTGCCAGGCTGCACCTTGGTGCCTCACCCTGATGTCCTGGCTCCTACCCTGGAGTTTCAGTACCACACCTGCTGTGTCCTCCGCCTGGAGCAGCCCCAACATACCCTGCACTGTTTCCATTGGGGAATTACACTCTTGGTTCAAAGGCCAAATCCAGTGCTGCCTGCTCCAGGAAGTCTTCCCTGATCTCCCCAGGGATCTGAGACACAGAGAGGCCAGGCCACTTGCCCAAAACCTTATGGCTGCTGAATGGAGAGATGACAGAGTCTGGGCTCCCAAGTGTCTCTCCAGGTCTTGGATCCCTTATCTGAAAAATGGGGTTACAGGAGCACCCTCCTGGCAGGGATGTTGTGAGGACAAGAGAAAGGCTCTCCCAAATCAGCAGTTGTGACCGAACGTTGTGTGCTCTGCCCTCAGAGCGGGACGGCCTTGTTAATATGGGCGAGGACCCCTGGCTGGGATCACAGGATTTTATACCCGACTTCTCCCACCAAATAGCATCTATTACTTTAAACAAATAGAAACAGACACAGCTAAAGCAAGCCAGAAAAATCAATAAGTAATAAATGTTAACTTGTGAGCAAATACATGATCTCAGTCGCAGGACCTGATTGGGTGTCCAGAGATTGGCCAGGCCCGGTGCCAAGGGGCCATGAATTCTGCAGAGGTGTGGCCTTGAGAGGGGTGGAGGTGGGCAGTTCAGGGGCTTCACCCATTTTGTCCTCAACCCAGCTTTTTCCAGAAATCTGAGGCAGCTGTGGAACAAGCTGGACTAAGGGTCCACATGTCCTGGGGCAACAAGTGCTCTGTGTTTGTCCATCTACTGCCCATCTATTGAGGACCTATGCCATGCTGGGCCCAGTGGTCAGGATGTGTGTGCTGAGTCTCACCAACTGGACTCACCCCATCTCTGCCACTAGCAGTTGTGTGTCCCAGGCAAGTGACCTCTTTCTGCCTCAGTTTTCTCATCTGTAGAACTGGATAATATTTATCTCACAGTGTTTTGGTGAAGAAGTAAGCTGGATAGTCCATGCAAAAATGTTTTCATGGATTCCTGGTACATTAAGTTCTTGAGAGATGTTAGTGATCATTTGTATTGTGTTGGTCTTGCACTGAACAAGACAGACCCAGGGAACGCACCTACGAGGTAGGGTCTGTTAACTCCATTTAATAGGTCAAGAAACTATGGTTCACATGTTAAATGACTTGCTCAATCTCACCCAGCTGGTCAGTGACAGAGCAGGGATCCACTACAACTGTGCGTGGCTGCAAGTAATGGAGAATGTGACCAATAGTAGCTTAACAAATAGAGGTTTATTTTCCTTACCTGAAATGAGGTCCCCAGGGCAATTGCTGGTGCTGGGTACTCGTGATGCCATCAGATACCCAGGGCTTTCCTTCTGATTTTCTGTTCTGCAGTTCTTAATATGTATGGCTTTGTCTTGGGCCTCATTACCTCATGGTTACAAAATAGCTGCCAAAGCTCCAGGCACGTCATCTGGGTACCTACCAGGAATGAGAAGGAAGGCAAGGAACTTAGAGTTTTCTAGCAAGTCTATCCCTTTTCATCAGTCCAACAAATCCTTCCCAGAGGCACTCCAAGCCAACTTCTACTCCATCTTATTGGCCAGAACTAGGTCAAAGAGTAGTAGCCCCCTGGAACAATTACAGCTTAAAGCAATCAGAAATACTTCTGTCATGAGTTGCCCATCTTCTAAGAGAGCAAGAGAGAAGAGTGTCAGTGCAAGAGTTGTCAGTGAGTGAGGACATCGTCTACCACTGGCATGCATGGCCCATCTGCATTCTGAACCCTCAGCCAATGAGCACTGAAGCCTGACTGGGTCAGGCCTTAAACTGGGGTGACAGAGGTGAGTGAGATGCACCTCTTCCCTCAGGTGGCTCGTAGTCAGATGTTGGGGGGGGGGCAGGTGGATGAATAGGCTGATCCATTTGGGAGGTCACTTCTGCAATGAGGATGGGCATGCAGGGTGGTGGGAGAGCACAGGGGGGCTCTGCTCAGTGTGGAACAGGCCACGTCCCACCCCAAATGTCTGCTCTTCCTTTGCGAGATGCTCAGAGAAAGCGGCTCTGGGAGCCCTGGCTATCCAGAGCAGGAGCAGAGGCAGCAGGTCCTACAGCCACTGCACTGCAGAGGGCGGAGACTCAGAGAAAGATACATTTACTGAGCCCCATATCCCCCCTGGTTTCATCCACTTCCCCCAATCTTTTTATCATAGTTTACTAACCATTTGCTACCCTGCCTGGGAGATGCATCCAGGGAAAAGAGCAGCAACTGGCATTACAGAACCCTGAACCAAGCACGTCACGTGCATTACCTTGTCTCAGATTCCCAGCACCCAGCGAGGTAGGTGCCGCTCCTATCCCCAGCGTATGGACCAGGAGACTGAGGCACAGAGAGTTTCAGTCACCTCACAACGTCACACTGCTCATAAGTCGAGAACCAACCTCCCCTCTCCCCACAACTCTACCACCCAGTGGCTGAAAAGGTTCTCCATGATGGTCTAGTACATTTTTTTGTTAGGGCAACAGGTGTAGAGAGGGCCGGCAACTTCTCCAAAATCACCCAGCACATTAGTGGGTGAGACTGGCCTCCTGATTTCCTGCCCAGATTCCTCCCGCTGGCAGGTCACTCTGGCCACTTTCTCTTGGGGCATTGGCAGGCAGGTGGGCCAGGGGATGGGGCAGGCCACACCCGGGGAGGCCCTGAAGGGTGCCATCCATTGCCGGCAGAAGCCAGTTCCCGGGGGCCCTGGGCTCCCTCCTTCCTCCCACCCACACGCTGCGGAGAAATACATCCTTTGAAAATGAAAGTGGGTTTGAAGTAAACAGATTAGTGGTGGTGATGTGCTAGCACTTTATTAATCAGGTGTCCTAAATACACTGAAACCTGGGCATTTAATTTAGATTTATAAGGATCATTTAAATGTATAAGACCAGTTATTAAGCATTAAGTACAGAAAATGCCAATTGGTTTTCATGGGCAATATTTATTGAAGTATTTAAAAAAGAAAACTATGTAAAATGTAATTACCCTTTTGTTGAATGTAAGCGCTGTCGGGGAGCAGTGGGGGCGGGGGCCTCTGTTAGGAGGTGTTCTCTTATTGTATGGCGGCAGGTTCATCACCATGAATATAAACGGGACACCCCCCCACCATGAGCCCCATACATTATCCTAGTGCAGGAGGGGGTCGGGCCACTTCCCTACCAGAGTGGAGCTAACAGGTGCTGGCAGGGGGCAGTAGAAGGCGCCCAGGATGGGCAGCTGGAGCCCTGGGGTCTCATTCCCCCACACATGGTGCAGCCTGGTCTGTGATCTTGGGGTACATTTTCCTCTCCAAGAGCCGTCGATACTGGAAGAGGCAAAGGGGAATTCTCCCAAGGGCCATCAGAGGGAGTGTGGCCGGCCAGCACCCTGGCCTAGACTCCTGGCCTTCAGAACATGAGAAAAGAAATTTCTCTTGTTATAAACTACCAAGTTTGTAGTCCTTGGAGGGCTGATTTTCATTTGTATCTGCCTTATGGGCAAAACCTAAAAACCTTGTTAAAGCATCCTGGAAGATCTTGCTTTGCTGGCCATGCTTTGTATGCAGAGTTAAAAGGCTGTTCTTGTTGTTTGCACTCCAGAACTATCCTAGTAGCTGACACACTCCTCATCCCTAATGCATTGTGAAGATGCCTTTCCAGTCAGCACGATGGCCACTGGCCATGTGGTCTGACAAAGCCCAGACTTCAATGGGCACTGCATCGCAGGCCACACATGGCCTGATTTTTGTTCCCCTGGAGCTCCATGACCCCACTGTCTCTGGCACTGTCCCTGGCACTGTCCCCAGCCTCATCAAGTCTGGCCCATCACTGAGGGTTTGCTTCCTGATGCCTCTGTTGATTCCAATCACTATCATTCCGGACTCTTAGCAGAAAGAGAAAATACACTGGGAATTGCAAACAGGGGATTTAATTCAGAGAGTTGATTATCAAAGCGCTGAAAGGCCACAGAGGAAAAGGTGCAGGGAGCGGGGCTGGAGGACCAGACGGGAGGATGTGTTAACAGAGCTCAGCCTGTGAGCTGCCATCAACCTTGGTGCTATCATCATTGACCCCAGAGATGTCCTCCAAGCGCCCTTCAGCTGCCCATGGCCACTATTGCTGTTGCCAGAGCCACCAACGGGCAGTGGAGTTACAACCCCTTGGTGCAGCCAGACCCCTTCCAGAAGTACAGAGGGCAGCGCTTCTGCCCTCTACCTTGCAGTCTTGCTCGAGCACCTTCCAATGACTGAGGCTTATTGGAGGCCAGCAGACCAGGGACTGGGAAACCACCATCTGGGCTCCAGAATCACACAGTGGTGTTAGTGGACCAGAGAGCACAGACCAACGCCTTACCCATGGGTGATAAGGGGTCACCATTACCCCCAAAGAGGCTGTGAGAAGATGAAATGCATCTGCAGAAGAGCCCAGGTCAGGGCCTGCACAGAGGCCCTCACTCAATGGGGACTGATGGCAGCAGGATCAGCCTCACCCTTGACTTACTCTTAGACCTTGAGCAAGTGCCTGGGCCTCTCTTGACTCCACTTTCTCATCTGTTAAGCAAACGGGCTTGGACTAGAACCCCCTCCACTCCCCACAGGCTAATGGATGACCCAATAATGAAATGGATGGGCCGAGACTGGCAGGAAGGACAGAGGGAGGGGCTACTGCCGGGAAGGAGGGGCTGGGCAGGGTCTGAGCCCCTGAGCTGTGTGCTTCACTGGAGACCATGTTCACATGTCAGACAGCTCACTCTTCAGCTGCCTTAATGCTCCCGACATCTGCCTGCTAATGTCGCCTCTGGCAGCACAACCTGGTCTCTATTCTCTTTGATGTGCTCACTCTCAGGACTGCTCAGCAGACAAGAAATTGCCAGCAGCAGCTCTTTTCTGCATACATTGGTCTGGAAGGAAAGGGAGCTGCCAATTAAATCCATCCTAAAGATTAGATTTGTAAGCTCAGGGGCCCATGAGGGCCCCGAGCGCCTGAGCTTTGAGGATCTTCCTGTTTTGGAGTGGAATTATTCATTTAAACCTGCTGGAACTCCAGGGAGCCAGAGATGCCACAGAGGCGGGGTCCTTGGGAAGCTTCCTTATTAGGAGCACGCGACATTTGGGTCCAGCAGAGGGTTCAGGACCTACTCTGCCGCCTGCTAATTTGCACCAGTTACTTAACTAGTCTTAGGCTGAGATTCTTTATTTATAAAAGAAGATAAGAACATTCGCTTAATTAGCCCATAGCATCACCTTCCCCGCTCTTCCCAGCACCCATCACTCCCCCACACCCTTTCCCCGGGAAACTAAGTCTCATGCACACTCTCGGCCCTGATCTGGAAGGGTTATCAATCAGTGACAGTTCCCCAGCCCCGCTCTCCTTAGAGACAGGTGCAAGCCTCCATCGAGCCAACGAGAGCACTCCATTCTCCCTGTAAATAGTGGCTGGCCCAAGAGAGCTCGTGACCAAGGCCTATCGGAACCCTCCACTGGGACTACATATTAAGAGAGCAGTTCTCTCTTCCCTCGGGAATCACCAGATGGGACAATGTAAGCTTGGAGCTTCCAATGCTTCCCCTCTGCCTCTCCTCCCCTCTCCTGCCTCACGAAGCAGCCCACTAGCAAAGAGAACAATGCTCCACATCATCAGAAGAACGCTAAAGAATGTTGAGAGAGAAGAGCGATTTGGTGATATTGTGGGAGCTGCTGAATCTGGCTGTGCCTGAAGTTCTTCCCAGTTCTACAAACCTGTTGGAACTCCAGAGAGCTGGAGATGCCACAGAGGTGGGATTCCCAGTTTGTAGAACGGGGAAGAACTGGCTAAAACTGCAAGTGTGAAAGAAGCAACTCAGCTGCTTTCACGACCCCAGCAGGAGTCACATCCTACCCTGGTGCCTGCCATCCTGATCTCAGGGCCCAGGAGTGTCTGCCCCTTCCATGTGGCTGAGAGCTTCTCAGGGTCTGGGGCTGGAGAAATGCTCGGGAGATTTCTGATGCATGAGGAGAGAGTGAGTGCTGCTCCTCCACATCCTGTCCTTCATCCTGCTCTGGCTCCTCCTCCCTGACATCCCCTAAACACCCCTGTAACCAGGCACTTGAGCTTTGGCTATTCCTGCCAACACCCTCCTCTGTGCTACAACTCAGCATGTTTTCCAGTCATTCATACCAGAGACACGTATTGATCGAGCATTTGTGATTAAGCATCTCGAGGCGCTATTCCAGGCTCTAGGAGCAGGAAAGGGAACAAGAGCTGGATGCTGCACTCAGGACATTTTCATTCATGGGGAGAGATGGATTAGAAAGAAAGGAAGAGATGGGCTTATTGTGCGGCCTAAAGGGCACTCTGGAAAGCCTGCTGCAGGGGTGCGGAGCGGGGGGGCTTGGTGAGTGGAGGACAGCCGTCTGTCATCCCCTGCTCCCCACCATGTCTGCCTGCTCTGTGCACAAGCCTGGGGCTCACTAATGCCCAGA